AGGAGAGAAACCACACACAAATAGCACAGGTAAGGGTATTTCTGAGACATTCATTACAATCCACACAAGCATCTGCCTTAAATGTAGGAAACGGGAAGTAGAGCTAATATAGAGACCCTCTTTTCCTCCCTTCTTATCTCTCTCTGTGAGTAGTTATCCCCATAGCTATGTCTATATATGCATCTCTCTATATAAAATATATTATACATGTGCATAACCATAACATATATGCTTATGTGCCTATCCCCTGACACAGAAGCCAATAGAAGAGGGGTCTTATAACAGCTGACCACAGAGAACAGAAAGGAGAGAGAGAAATAACAGATGGACCAGCCGAGTGCCCATGCTGGCAATGAGTCAGGAAAAACCTGCTAAGTTCAGGTGGATGGAAAGGCCGCCTACATCCGGCCCCACCTCCCTGCTCCTAGTGCCAGGAGTGGAGTTTTTCCCAATCCAGCTTCTGGCTTTCCGTGGCTACGCACAAGTTACTATGCCATACTGTGCATACAACTACTAGAAACCACCTTAAATTATTTTGGTGCAATATGAGAGGATGAATGTATGAATAAGTAAGCTTCTGAGGCTCAAATTTAACTTTTTGAATTTTTTGGGGTTTTTTTATGGTACATGTTTATATGCACACACATGAGTGAGCCCTGGCACACGTGTGGAGGCCGGAGGATAACTTTTAGAAGTCACGTCTCTCCTCTCGCCGTGTGGGCCCCAGGGATTAACTGGGGTCATCAGGGTTGGCAGTAAAGCTCAATCAGTGGCTTTACCCACTGAGCCATCACACCCATTGCCAAAGATATCTTTGTGATGTGTTACTGATGATCCCATGTAGTAACAAGAAGGTCAGAAAACCACCAACCAAGTACTTACAGTACACACAATTATTATTATCAAGCTATGAGAAATATGGAAAATGTACAAGAGTTGCTAAGTGAAAAACGCACCCGTGAACAGTCATGGGGTACTTCTCAACACAGATGTGCTCTGAGACAGGCGTCAAGCGTGGCTGGCATGCTCACATCTTAAAGTGCGTTTACACAGACCTGGATGATATAGGATGACCTCTTCCCAGCAGCACCAGCAGCTTACCTTGGATATGATGGTCATGCTGAACAAAGCAGCATGAAACCGCATTACACACAAGAAAAATGGATGCTATCAGAGATTGGGTAACAAGACAGCATGAAACCACATTACACAGGAGAGAAAAGGATGCAGTCAGAGACAGAGTGTGTACAAAATGTCACAGTGAGCTGCCTTTTGATAAGTAGGGGGAATATACGCCACTGTAACAATAAAGTTAAAAGATAATAAAGACATGAGCCAGTAACGAGTATAATCGTTGCACTACAAACTATACATAATTGCACTGCTGCAACTGGCAGCACAGTGGGTTTGTTTACACCAGCATCGCCCAGAGCAGGTGAGTAGCTTTATCCCACATCATGACACTATGATGTCATCAGGAATAAGGACTGCATGGCTCCATCATTACCTTACGGGGCCACTATTACATAGGTTACACGCACTCCATCGTAGACCACATGTCTAATCTGTATCTATAACCACACGTATCAAAGCCAGGCATGGTGGCACATGTCTGTGAACCTAGGACTTGGGAGGTGAAGAAGCACAGATGTTTATGGTCATCCTCAGCCACAAAGAGCTGGTGCCGGCCTAGACGAGACCTTGTCTCAAAAACCAAAACCGGGTGAAAAGATGACTCAGCTGCTCTTGCAGAGGAACTAGGTTTGATTCCCAGCACCCACGTGGTGGCTCACAACCATCTGTAACTCCAGTTCCAGGGGATCTGACACCTTTTTCTGCCTTCCATGAATACTGCATGCCTTTGGTGCACAAACATACATACATGCAGGCAAAACACTGAGACCTATAAAACAAAACTAAATACTACAGATTTTAAAGAAGAAAAAGAAACCTTGAAGCCAAGTGGGCAAGCACAGCTGTTGTCCTAACTCAGGCCATCAGAGACAAAGGTCTAGAAGTGAGGGTTTGCAAAAATGTTGCCTTTCACCTGCTGGAATGGGCAGGACAAGGCCATTCTGGAAGTGAGAGGTGGGGCTGGAATCCAGAGCACAACTGTCTGGCTTTGGGAACCCCTCCCATCCAAGGGCACACCAGGGCTACCCCTGCTTAGCTCTGATCAGATGAGACTGGTCGCTAAGGGATGCTCCTCGGGTGGTAGAGTGCTTGTCCAGTGTGTGTACAGCCAGTGTTTGTCTCCCAGCACCTCACAAACGGCATGCCTGGAATCCTGAACTAGGCAAGAAGTTTAAGATCATCCTCAGCTACACGGGGAGTTTGAGGCCCAATAAACAAGCAAATTCCCTCTCCAGAAGTTTGTAGGAACAGCCCTTCCCACGTGACAGAGAACACACTTGTGCTTTTTCTGCAATTTTCTCCCCAGCTCTTTCAAAACACAGAGCAAGGACTTACATCAAAAAGACACCCATTCAAACATTTCAGGTTTAGCTCAGGACAGTGAGCAAAGTCCAGAGAACACTGAGCCCCATGATGGCCAGAGAGATAAACAAGCAGCAAATGCTGACGTCGTTTTTAAACAGAAATCAAACACACCGCACTGTCCCAAGCCTTTGCAAAATCAGCACCATCCTCTGGCTCCCCAGGAAGAAGTTCACAGTTCCCCACACCAGAACAGGGCTATGCTTATATTAGCCTTAGGTTGAGTTTGACAAGTTATAGTAAAGCAAAAATTCTACAGCCAGAGATGACATCATCTTGCCTTCTTTCCTTGGCTCAAGATCTTACAGCAAAGTTAGTATCAAAACTACATATATTTGGACTTTGTGTGTGTGTGTGTGTGTGTGTGTGTGTAAGTTCGGAGGAGCTTTAAGAAAAGCAGCAAAACCAAAATTATGTGCAGGGCTTTGAAAGATCTTATGCAAAAAAAGGGACATGGGACTGGAACTTCATTTGATTCCTGATCGCCCTGCCTGTTTCACACTGCTTGAGTTTCCAAGTTGTCTGTTCCAGTGTTCATGCCGATGAAGCCATCAGACACTTGTTAGACACTGAGTGAAATGGCATGCTGTGTTAAAAATGCTTGTCATTAGTTGGGCCTGATGCCACAGGCCTGCAATCCTTGTCACTTAGGAAGGAATCAGGAGAATCAAAAATTCAAGACCAGTCCAGGCTACAAAGTGGGTCCAAGGCCAGCCTGGGCAACAGAGTGTGTTCAAGGCTAGTCTGGACTACATCTAATACCCAGGGTCCCTATCTCTTCGTCTCTGTACCCAGAGATCTGAGCCACAATGCTTTGCCCATAACAGATGACCAAGATTTTACCTTTAACAAATATGAGAAGAAATTAAAGACATTTAAAAGCAAATTGTGTAGACTGCTGGTATGGTCTGAATCCAAACTGTTCATACCCACAGACAGGGGTATGAACACTTGGTCCCTACCTGGAGTTCTGCTTATGGTTGTGGAACCTTTAAGAGGAGGCACATTGCTGGATGGAGTGGGTCACTAGGGGTTGGGGCTTGAAGGTCTATAGCCTGGCCCCACTTCCTGTCCACTCTGTTTCACATGTGCAGACGTGATGAGACCAGCCATCCTCCTGTTCCTGCCACCACGTCATCTCAGCCATGATGGTCGCTATCCCTCCAGAACTATTTGCAAACATAAACCCCTTCTCCTTTAAGGATATTGTATCATAGTGGCAAGCAAGTAACTAAGACAGCAGGACAGCGTCAGCTGATAGACATCTTCTGTGTATACCACTGTTTTAAGATTGTCAGATTGTGTAGACATAGGCTGTGTAAAGATTTGTCCAAAAGAACCATGGAGACCAACAAACAAGTCCACATTCTACTCACACAAAAGGAAGCACAGCCACCACGGGAGCGAAGAGGTGAGGTGTTCAAGAGCTTCTCTGGGCGCTAACTGCCTGGGTCCCTAACAGGTATCCTCATCCTAGTTCCACAGAGGCGAGTGGCACGCCTTGGGTTGTAATGCCAGCCGTATCCCTCATTCCCTGCGTAGTTGGGGAACCTTTCTAAGCATGTGTGCTGGGGGAGCTCCTTCTGCTCCTTCAGCCAATAGCCTTTAAGATACCAGCCCAAGTGGGTGTGGTCTCTTATACTAGAAATGCAGCTGTAAAGCCTGTGCTCGCTCCCTTGCTTCTGGCTCTCACTTCCAGCTGCTAGACTCTGCTCCTGTTCCCTGTTTGTGCAGAGAACTGTGATCTAGGACAGTGATCTGTGAGTCTCCCCTAAATAAATAACCCTTTATTATACATAATTCTGAACCAGTGTGGGATTAGTTTGTACCTTCCGCCATCACGTGTCTTTATATAAAGGAAATATTACTGCGGACTTCACAGGGTTGAGGGAGGGCCCCACGTGAAGCCATCAGTCAGTCCCAAGCCTTGCACCCAGCTAACAACACTTGTCCTTGCCAGCCCACTCCTCCCCATGCTCAGAACAACTGCTGGAACTTCTCATGACCAAGCAGCACCCAGCTGTGTGGTGGCAGTGTTCCCCAGCTTCTGATGTAAGTGTCTCTTTGAGGCTGCAGGGAACAGAGGGCGGAATTTCCTGCTGTTGGTCACTCGGGAAGGCACAGAGGACTCAGACTACACCAAGCGTTGTCACAGGGTGGGACTCTTGTACCTTAGCATCTATGTAGGAACCCGGGACTGAAATCTTTGAGCACACTCCTGGGAGGTGATGGGAGTGCTGTCCTCTTTGTCTCCCTTTCCTTTCCTTATTCCCAGGGCTACAGGTAGATAGTGCAGTCTTGGCTGCAGGCTGGAGTTTGGTGAACTCTGGAGGCCAGCACCCCCTGGAGGCCAGGAGGTCATTAGCAGCCATAGAGAATCTGAGGGAAGGAGTGGCCCCACCACCAGCCCAGGGGAATCTGGGTCACTGCAGGAGCTTCGTTCAGAGCCAGCAGCTCTGAGGGCAGCACATCTGAGTCTGACGTCTGTGGCAGTGACCCCTTACCTCCTCGAAAGCCTCACAGCCTGACACCACAATGTTTGGCCTGAAGTATTCCATCGTCACTTTCTTCTTCAGCCTGCTGTTGAGATCCACTAAGGAGGCTTCAGAAATCATGTGGATGGGGCTGCAGTCTGGGTAGGCTACCTGTTACAGGACACAGCACAGTCAGGTCTCCCCACTCACTGGCATTGCAGCCCAGAGCTCAGCAGAGCCCAGACAGGAGACCTCTGAAGTGTGGAAGAGAAGAGCTATATTCAGGAGAGGGAATTGGGGCGGTGAGTGGGGGGGGGGGGGCTCATTGACAGGATGTGAACGCTGAAGCATGGCTTCTATCCACACACTCGACAAGTCAGCAGCTTGGGCTGGCTCTTGTTATTCTATTAAATTCTTTATGTATTTATTTGAGACAGGAACCAGGTAGCCCTGGATGTCCTAGAATTTATTAGGTAGACCAAGCTGTGTTTGAACTCACAGAGAGTCACCGCCTCTACCTCAGGAATGCTAGGACTAGAGGTGTGCACCATCACACTGGAGGACTGTTATTCTCCAGCCTGCTTTCCTTTCTCATCACACAAGGAGGAGTCTAATGCCGATGGAGTACATTCTAGCAACAGTTTCATTAGCACCAACCATCTATCCAAAACCTACTAATCACCAGGAGATACCTGACGCTGTTTTAGGTGAGGAACATTAGTGACAAAGCAAATAAGATTATCTCTAATAACATTAATAATAATAATAGATAAGTGTGCCTTGGCTCTGGATGGGAATCCCTGAGGGACCTAGGCTTGCTGTAGCTTTCCCTGGCAGGGCTGCCTTGCTGGCCTCAGGCACAGCTGTCACATGTGCAGGCAGCGAAGGTGGCCTGGAGAAGCCTGCGTCGGGAAAGGCACACTTAGTCCCAACATTTCACTTCCACTTGCAGCCAGGCTTCTTCTCTTTCTTTCCTCTCTGGGCCACGGTCTCACCTTGAGCCCAGGCTGGCCTTAAATTCACAGTGATCCTCCTATCTTAGCCTCCCGAGTGCAGGGCATGAGCCACCACACCCAACTTCCAGCCAGTTTCCCCCGAATCCCATCTCTCCACAAGTCAGCCCCGGCTCTGCCCTCCACACATCTATACCTAACCCTCCTGGGCACCTCGGAAGTCCCAGCACTCAGACAGCCCTCAACCCAAGTCCCTCTCCATCCTTAATGTGTAGGTTGTACCCTGGACCACCCTCCTGAACCACTGCCAAGGTTGTCTAACTGAAGCTTCCCAAGGGGCTCTATGGACAGAGAAGAAAGCACAGAGGGCCCAGGGTAGCGGGCAGAAGGAAGGAAGACCGTCCGCTCACCTCATAATTCTGGAGGTAGCTTTCAGAAGGGTACAGTTTCTTTGTTGTTCTTCCTTTCATGCTGGTATCAAACTGAACCAACCTGTAAGGTTGCGTCTTCAGGTAGTTGGTGAGCCACTGGGCCACCTCATCGCCACAATCTCTGCCTTTAATGTCGAGACCGAATAGCCTGGGAGGGTTGCAAGAGAACACCAGATTACGTGTGTTGGCACACCGAATACACCAGAGAGGGGCCAGGAAAGAGCAGAAGGAGGTCCAGCAAACACTCTGGGGAAGAGCTCTCCAGCTCCCATGTCTACGCATCACCTAGACAGTTGTTCAGACGCAGACTCGGACACTGGGCTGGGGTTAGAACCTGGAACTTTGCATTTCTGACATGTTTCCAGCCACCTACGTGGCCAGCCCCCTAGACCATTAAAAATACCAATGATTTGGGTTTCTTTCAGAAGGGGGGGGGGTGCTGCCTGAAGCAGGTGCACCTTTGGCTGGAAATTCTCAGACCTGGTTCAGATTGGTCTGTTGGCCTTAAGTAAATGTAACACCTGCCTCTCCCTCTGTCTCCCACTGTACAGTGGAGATAAGCGCGTTATGCCTACCTATTGGGAGAGGGGTGAACACAGACGTGATCACACTGTGCTCTGCTGTGCTCCTAGCTTGCTTTAAATTGACTTCTCCACATTAGTTGTTAAAATTGTGTGTCTTTCGCACACAGGTTGATATGTAAATATTTCAATCTACATTTCCTTGAACCATATAACACTGACTTTTAAAATGAGACTATACTTGATTTTTTCAGTGATTTCTAAATGTTATCAGTCTGATATCCACCACTATCCATTTTTAAAATACACAAATAAGATTTTTCTCTAAATAGACCAACTACTGTTGTTATTGTTGCTGTTTTTAAAACACGGTCACTGGTAGCCCAGGCTGGCCTTGAGGAACTTGTTATGTGGTAGAGGCTACCCTTGAACCTTCTACCTCTCAGTGCTGTTCCAACATGCTGATAAATGGTCGAAACACATATGTACATTCAACTTTTCTTACATAATTTTATACTGATATTTGATTATTGATCTCTTAAAGCATTTCTCTTGAACTGATAAAATTTTGTTTCTTAAGGACACATATGTGAAAGAATTTGGGAGAGATTAAAATTATCTTTAAATTTTTGATTTGTAAGTAACTGATTGATTATAATAAAATGGGTATGTTGTAAATTTCTGATGATCTCTAAACATAAAGATAATTTCAGTTGAAATTAACTTATTAATGAACCCTAAGAATTTCCACAAATCTTACATAACTCCAGACAAGGCTTAGTATCAATTTATTTCTCCTCACTCCCCTTAAGCAAGGTCTCACGGTGTAGCCAAGTGGTGAGGATTTTACCATGTTGCCCAACCTGGCTCCAAATTCACAATCCTCCTGCTTTCACCTCCCTAGTGAATCACCAAGCACATTTCCTTCCTTTCTTCAATAGCCCTGAGAACAAGGGGCCAAGAATGATAGTTTACACCTCTAACTCCAGAGCTCCAAAGGCTATGGTAGGAGGATAGTGAATTTAAGGATAGCCTGAAATATATAGCAAAACCCTATTCATTGATATTTTTAGGGAAAGGTATTGAGATCGGGTCTCACTATGAAGTCTTGGCTGGCCACGGGCATGCTATGAAGACCAAGGTGGTCTCAAACACACAAAGATCCATTTGTCTTTCCCTCCTGAAAGCTGGAATTAAAGGCATGCGCCACCACACCCAGTTACTTTTTAAATTTTAATATCCATTTGTTTATTTTTATATTTATTTAATTGTTTTGAGAAAAATATGGAACATTTAGCAAATCTGTGTCATTCTTGCACAGGGGCCAGGCTAACTGACTCTACATCATTCCAATTCCAGCAGATGTGTTGCAAAAGGAAGCATAACAAAGTTCTATTTTAAAAACAGCCAACCAAACAAAACAAAACAAAGAAAAGAGGTCTGGCTAGTTCAGTGGTAGAGCACTTACTCAGCGTATACAAGGAATGGGTTCCATTCCTAGCACTATAATGGGGGGTATGAAAAAAATGGTCCCCAAAGGGAGTGGCACAATTAGGAGGCATGGCCTTGGTGAAGTAGGTGTGGTCTTGTTGGAGGAAGTGTGTCACTGTGGGGGTGGCTTTGAGGTCTATTGTGCACAAGCTTTACTCTGTGTGACCGTCAGACACTCCCTGTTGCCTTCTGGTCAAGAAGAAGCCAGCACCACATCTGCCCGCACACTGCCATGCTTCCCACCATGACGATAATGACTGAACCTCTAAAACTGTAAGCCAGCCCCAATGAAATGCTTTCCTTATAGGAGTTGCCCCGCATGGTGTCTCTTCACAGCAACAGAAACCCTAACTAAGATGGGGAGGGGGCTCTGGTGCAAGCTATGGAATTAAGGATCTGAAGAAAAGTTTCCCCTGCCCTCCCATGCCATGAGAACTGCACATGCGCACGCGCGCGCGCACACACACACACACACACACACACACACACACATGCACACACAGAGAGCCTGTGTGAATGCTATGCCTGTACCAATGGGAGGATGCCTGAGTTGATGTGTGCAAAGGGGCTCAACAAACACCCAGAATACTCATTAATAGTTGAACTTCTGAACTCCTGATGGCTCAGAATACTCCCACTCCCAGAGCTGGGATTACAAGCATTACCACCACAACCCCTGTTGTCAAATCTCAACACCCTTCTGTTAAGGTCCTAGGTTCTCCTAGGGTCCCTTCCTTCTAGCAGAAACCCTTCTTGGAGCACTGTTTGGATCTATACCTCCAGCCATGCTCCTAAAACTGCAACCACTCTACTATTCAAAACAGATCCTATCCGCCATGGAGCAGCACCGAGGTGGCCTCCAGCTCCTTCAGAACACCACCCACACGTAACTGCATGTACTTCCACTCCGTACCGGCCACCGAAACACAAAAAACTGGCACTGACCCTTGGAAAGGGTACCTATCATGGCAAGAGGATGCCGATCAATCAGTGTCCTCCCAGCTGATACCAGGCATTTCTCTACCAGGACTGTGCTTGCTACTGTTGTTGCTGCAAAACAAAACAGCTATGTGGTAAGAACTAATCCCAGGCTTACGCAACGGACCCTACTCTGAGGAGGTACCCTCACTTTAGAAAACATCTTGGCATGTCTAGTGCCTTCTGTTTTGTATATACCTATAATCTAAGCACTGGGGAGTCAGAGGCAGGAGGTTTAAGCATTTGGGCCAGCCTGGGCTACACAGAAAATTCTAGGCCAGTTTGAGCTACACAGCAAGACTCTGTCTTTAAATAAACAAGTAAATAAATAAATGCTACACGTCTACTGGTCTAGATAGCCTATACTTAAAACCCATACCTTGGGGCTGGCAGGATGGCTCAGCAGGTAAGAAGTTTATGAACAAGCTGCACAACCCGAGTTCAATCCCTGGGATCCCACAAGGTAGAAGAGAACTGACCTCACCCAAGTTGCCTCTGGCCACCACACTTTGCACATGCGCTCTCAGAAGACACAATACTAATAGCTGTAAGGGGGCTGGAGATGACTCGGTGGTTAAGAGGGCTTGCTGCTCTCCTGGAGGAGGGTTAGTCAACTCAGCATGGCCTGAAATTCAGCTCCAGGGAACCTGACACACACACACGGGGAATCTATGCTCTCTGAGGGCACCTACACCATACTCACCCACATCACCAAAACTAATAAACAGAAACCTTAAAGAAGCCTCACAGAATATTGTTTCCTATCATATAAGCACGAAGAAAAGAATGAGCGCACGGGTGACCACAGACTTACACAGTGGAAGCCACCCGGTGTTGGAAAATCAGTCCACACAGCGGCTAATGGTAGGAAGCTAAGGGACAATTGTGTGTTGACAGGGGTGACTGATGGCTGGGGGCTCCTAAGCTACCTGAGGCCAGGGGAGCCAACCCCAAGATCAGAGGTCTGGACTCTAGTACCACAATCCCCAACCTAAAAGGAAGGGGCAAAGGGGCAACCTAAAAGGAAGGGGTTGAGTTGATCAATCGTTGATAATTTTTATCAAGGATGCTATGTAATAAAGTTTCCATAAGAGCCCAAAGGACTAGGTTCAAAGAGTTTGCCAACGCTGAACACCTAGAGGTGTGGAAAGGGAGGCACACCCAGAAAGCACACGAGCGTTCAGCTCCCTACCTGTGGGGCTCTGCTCGCCCTTAGCCCTTAGAACATCCTTCACAAGCACTCACGACTCCCAGTTTCTAAGAGGCTCTCTAGCAATGAACAGAACCCAGGGAGGGGGCGGTAGGTCAGAGTCAGGCTGCCGCCCTCACTGGCATCCAAAGCTAGGAATAGACTAATGGGACCAAGCCCTTAACGTGTGAGAGCTGATGCTGACTTCGGGCAGATGGAGTCAGGATGGGTTGCTGGACGCTGGCTGGTGTGTGCTGGAGGAGGTTTGCTGGTAGAGGGAAATCCATACTCACTGAGGACGCAGTATTGACTCTGTATTGTGGAGTGAAAAGCACACCTCTTGCCTTCCACGGTGGCTTGAATGAGAACAGCATCCACAGGCTCATATGTTTGATAACATGGTCCCCAGTTGGTGAAACAGTTTGGGAAGAATTAGGAGGAGTGGCCTTGTTGGAAGAGGCTTGTCACTGAGGGTGTGGGCTTTGAGGTTTTAAAAGCCTGCACCAAAAGCCTGCATCAGCCAGGCAGTGGTGGCGCATGCCTTTAATCCCAGCACCTGGGAGGCAATGGCAGGTGGATCTCTGTGAGTTCGAGGCCAGCATGGTCTACAAGAGCTGGTTCCAGGATTAAGCTTGGTCCCTCCGCTCTCCCCCCACCTACTGAGCAGAATGCAAACTCTCAGCTATGCTCCCCCACCCCGACATGATGGACTCACCCTCTGACACTGGAAGCCCCAACTAAACACTTTCTTTTATACGTTGCTTTGGGCATGATGTCTCTTCATAACAACAGAAAAATAACTAAGATATCTTCCTATCTCACCAGCTTTTTTTGTTTGGTTTCTCTGTTCAGTTGCAAAAAAATAAAACTTCAGTTGGACTTTGCAAAATTGAAGCTACTATTTTCTTTTTTTATTTTCAGGGAAAAAAGATGGACAACTGCCACTTCTGCATATAACAATTATACCTACATATACATATATGTCAAATTATATATAAAAATCAAATGTTACTTAGCTAGTCTTTCTTTAAGTCTTTTTTTTAATTTTTATTTATTCTTACAACTTAGTTAGCTTTAAGGCTCGACCTCAAAGGCTTTTTGTTAGACTAAAGATAATTTCTTCCTTCCTCTTCCATTAAAACATACGCATGGGACCAGTAAGATGACTCAATGGTAAAGACGACTGCCACCATGCCGAAAACCTGAGTTCAGTTCCCAGGCCCCATGCGGTAGATGAACCAACTCCCTCAAGAACTGACTGCCAGGGGAGCCTACTCCAAGATCAGAAGTCTGGATTTAGTACCACCTCACTCCCTTTCTCTTGCCTCCAAGGGGCAGAGGCTAAAGATTGAGGTGAGCAATGGCTAATTATTCTTATCAATCACACCTATGTAATAAAAGCCAAATAATTATTTTTATCAATCACACCTATGTAATAAAATCCAAAAGGGCTTGATTCAGAGAACTTCCAGATTGCTTAGCACACAGTGTTGAGCTCACTGTGAAGCTGGCTCGAAGGAGGTGAGCTTCCTGCCCCATTTCAGCCCAGAGCGGCTCAAAGCGCCCTGCGGGGCCCACTGTCCTGGGACATTCCGCCCCCTTCCTCTGTGGTAGCTGGGGAAGAAACAGCCCGTGCCCTTGAAACAGCTTAAGGTAAACCATTCCCAATAACTGCCACTATTGTTTATCTTGCAACATAAAAGTATAGGCAAAGGAGAAACAGCAGGCCCAAATTCAGTCACAGAGAAAACACTCAACTGGGAACTCCAGCTGAATGTCAGAGGTCTCTGCTGGATGTTAGAGGAGCCCATTTGATGATGTCATCTCTGTTTGTTGCTACTTGATCTTGTACTTGAAGCTCCACCTTGGGGAGGTTCTGCTCTGCCTGGGACTCTCTATTGGGAACTCCAACTGATTGTCTTAAAGGGGCTTCCTGAATTGGTATCTGCTGGATGTATGGAGCACCCAATTCGATGATGTTTTATTATTGTCTGTCTATCCGTCCGTCTGCCTCTTGCTATTTATGTATTTATTTTTTTTATTTATTTTACTTTGGCTTGACATATACTTAGTAAACTCACTCATTCAAAATCCAGAGCATGGCTGTCACAGATCATTCTGTGGATGGCACAGAGCATGGTACCTAGAGGGTAGCATGCTCAGAGTACACAGGGGTTCCACTCCCCACACCTGCCCCTACCCACTTCTTCATCTGCCACCTCCTCCTTAGCCTTGGAGTACCTTTTGCAAACAACTGGCAAGCGTGTTTGCTGAATTCTGTGAGGCATTCCGAGGAACTGAACCCAAGAAGGAGGCTGTGGGAGTCAGGTCACAGTTGGTGGTGGGTCGGAGGCTCAGGTAGCTAACCACTAGCTCTAGCTAGCACAGCTACTGTGTCAGACATGGGAGGTGTGGGGGCCAGCCATGATAAGCTAAGTATGGGCAGATCACCCAAAGGAAGTTCTTTACTTCCAACCATTATCACCTGCCAGAGTAGTACTCTGGCCATCGATAAATTTAAATGGAGGCCTGAGTCTCAGTAATTTACCCTGAAGCAATACCTGGCTGCAGAAAGAACCACTGAGATTACCTGAGCACCAACAACAACAGACCATCCAAAGAAAATGCCTAGCATTTCAACCGCTAGAGATAGGATCACCTGCCAGCACACACTCACCAGGACACGCCTAGACAAATGTCAGCCAATCAGGGGTCCTGAACCTCAGAAACCCCTCACCCCCGCCTTTACTACTATAAAAACCCAATTCTAATTGGGCTCGGGGCTCTCTGTTTGTTCTAATATGTTGGACATGCGGAGAGACCAAGTTTGCAAACTTGCATAAAAAATAAAGGCTCTTTGCGTTTACATATGGGACTCGGTCTCCTTGTTGGCTTTTGCAGGGACTTCTTGGATTTGGGCATAACAGGAGACACTCTCAAGAGACCAGTCCTTACTCTGCTGGAACTGAGGCTATCTCTGGGCAGATGGTGTTAGACTTGGATTGTGGGACACCACCTGGTGTCCGCTGGAGAACTGATCATTGGGGGAAAAATACTCAAACATCTGGAGCCCAGCTGAAGGATCATGGTCACTGATACACACTACCCACTTTCTTTCCTGTCTCGTGTGACCTTGTTTTCTTTTCCCTTTTCAGACTGGACTGTCTGAATTCAATGTCATTTTTCTTGTTTATTTTTAGGGGGAAAAAATCTTAAATACATTTAAGAAGACAACCAATACCTAATTTATCTGTACTTAAATTTCAAGTTAAAATAAACCATTGCTCAGCTAGTCTTAGAAGCTACATCCCAAAGACTATTTGCTACGTCTGAAGTTTTCTTTTTTCCCCCTCCCTTCAAAGGCTAGAAGCAGGCCCTTTTCATCATGTAGGCCAGGCTGGTCTTGAACTCATGGACCTTCTGTCCCCACTTCCCAGGTACTGGGATGCGAGCATGTGTCACCACACCCACTTACGTGCGACATTTTCAGGCAATAACCACTCAGAGATCTGCGGTATCGAGAAACACTACTGACCTATAACTGCCCTAAACGTTTTAACACTGGTCTGGAGAGAGGGCTCCGTGGGTAAAGGCGCCTGCCGCCAAGCCTGACAACCTGAGTTCAGTCTCTGGGACCGACACGGTGGAAGGAGAAAACTGATCCCCTCAGACTGTCCTCTGACCTCCACACCATCTCTTTCCCACAGGGTCTCTTCTATCCTTGGCTTCCAGGGAGCATCCGAGCGTCCCCAGAGCAATCTGTGTGAACAGGTGAAGACCCTTGGAGAGAAAATCGCTGTGGGTGACAGTGAGCCAGCCCCACCCGGGAACAAACACACCCATCACACACCCACAAGTTCTCAACTGCAATATAAGCAGCATGTTGATTTTTCTCTTCAAAACCGGTCATTTGTGAAAACTGTTTCCCCTTCCTGCACACAGGGAATAAAAGAAGACTAGGAGGTGCATGGACTGAACTCCAGTCGCTCACTGATCTGCTCCCCTCCTTCTCTCCCTCCCTCCCACTTCCCACCTCTCTGTGGGATGGGGTGGGGGATCAAAGTCTGCTTTCCTCCTATGTAAGCTGAAACTAGGGATGTCATCTACAGGCTTACTGAGACAACACTGCACTCAGCCAGAAACTGCTTTAGAATTTGGGAAGTTAGGAAGCATGAAGGATGGATTTCAGCTCCGACGTTCTGAACAAACATGAGACTCTTCTATGAACCCAAGCGCCTTTAGATTGTACCTGTTTCCTCGGGGTTGAAAAGCTAGGGTGAGGCACGGTACTGCACCCATTAATCCCAGCACTCAGGAGGTGGAGGTGGGCGGTTCTCTGTGAGTTTGAGACCAGCCTGGTCTACAGAGTTCCAAGACAGCCAGAGATACACAGTGAGACTCCCTCTCAAAATAGAAAAAAGAAACAAAAGGAAAGGAAAGCTTGGCTGAAGGCTGAGTGCACCGCTCAAGGGCAGAACGCTCACTTAGTGTGCCCAGAACACTTAACGCCAGCATTTACCTGGTTACCAAGGGACCCACGACATTGCATCATCCCACAGCAAACACCTAAGTTTCTGTGATTTCCCAGCATCAAAGAGCAAAGCCTCCCAGCTTTAATCTTCAGTAGCATGCATGCACACACATACAAAAAGAAAAAAAAATCTGGCAAGACCCAGCAGGACATAGGTCATTGTGAGAGGGCTCACATGCAAACAGATGCCAAGGCCTGAGGCCTCACCCCTGCCTACACACATAACCCGCCCTAAGTCCTCAATCTCAGCGGCACACTTCAGAGACTGGAAAGTTCCAAAGTTCTCCTTAACCAGCTCTGAGCTAAATTAGCAAAGCCTCCAGTAACTTCTCTTGTCTGGATGGCAGCTAAGAAGTCTCAACAACGTCTCTCCAAGGGTCAGTGAGCTGACTCAGTGGGTTAGGGCACTTGCTGTCAAATCTGAAGACCTGAATATGATCCCCAGAACCACAGGGTAGAAGAAAAGAACAGATTCTTATAAGTGGCCCCCTGGTCTTCACACCCATGCTGTTGCATGGGTGGGCATTAGGAAATAAACCATTTTACACTTGGGTCAGCCACATGTTTTGCTTCCTTGTCTTGGAGGCCTTGGAGAAGGGAAAGCCACCCCTATGGCCAGCTAGAGACATATTCCTAGCGACAATAGTCTTGGCTCATGCAAGCATGACCTGCCATCCTTTATTGAGTCCTTACCTACAGGGAACAGTTGTTAGGACTATAAGCCACACAGCTGCTTCGTTCTGAACCCCCCCACTCCCCCCACTCTCCCATCCCACCCCACCCACTGACCTCTGCTGCCCTAGCCACTGAAGTTATTCTAATCAGTCAACTGAACCTTGCTCATTAACCCCTTGTTTTTTCTCCTTCCTGCCAAAGCCTAAGCAAAGTCCCTGGGCTGCAGTTTCCCCTTCCTCACGATTCCTCTGGCCAGCCCCGAGGCTTCCGTGTTAGTGTTGCCTACTTCTAGACACCCATCGACGTAAGGGATCATTTTCCTGTGTGACAGTCATCTGCAACTCTTTCCGTAGCTCGACTGGGACGGAACACACAAAGCTCGGTTCGATCCCCAGCACCACACAAACTGAGCATGCTGGTACAGGCTTGTAATCCCAGCAGTCAGGGAGTTAAGGCATAACGGTCAAAAGTTCAAAGTCATCCTTGGTTATGTAACAAGTTGGAGGTCAACCTGGAAGGTCAGACAGCCATCTCCAAAGTAAAATAAATAAAAGCTAGTCCTGGGCACCCTTAATGGTCACTCACAGTTGAACCACACCCTATAGACTAACTGTCTTCAGTATTTTCCTGCACCAGAGCCTTGTTCTGCAGTTCTAACAAAAAACATAACACATGGAAGGAAACTGCAGGTCTGCTGCAGCTTCCCCACTGCCCCGGAGCAGCGCACCTGCAGTCGTGGATCTTGTTCGAAGATGGCAGCTTGATAGGCAGAACCATCGGGTCCATGTCTGGGGCTTCGAGGGTCAGGTAGTTGTTCTCCAAGGTGATGGAGACCAGCACGAGGCGAGGCTCCTGGCGGGCAGTGACCATGTGTCCATCTTCCTTAACTACCATCCAAAACCTGCAGAGAGGCAGACAGGCATGCACTCACAAAGTCTTCCCCGACCCTCATGAACTTCCTTTAGCTCTCCCTCACCTCGGAACCATCCACCCTTCCTGCTCGGAGAGCTGATGGCAGGTCCTGCAGGTCTCACCAGATCCTTCTGTTGTCCTCAGAAGGAGGCCCTCCAGCACTTGGGCGATGTCCTTTGTCACCTTATGAGGCAGCAAGAAGCCCTCGTCGGATGCCAATGTGTGATCCTAGATTCAGTAACTCCCAGCACGCCCCATCCCCAGACAAGACTTGGGATGTACTCAAGCAGACACTACAATCTCTAGTCCTTCTCTAGCTGAATCACCTCAGCCCCCATCCACCCAGAACACCCTCTCTGCTTTAGCACTGTGTAATGAGTTGGAAACCAAGGGCTGGTGTTAGAAGTGGGAGGGGATGCTCAGAGGCTTCCTGCTGATTGCTGTGACATATGCATTGAGAATTCAACCTTGGGTTTGCACAAAACTGGTACAAGTTAAAAGGTTAATGTAGTGGTTGATCTACGGTCCCATTGACAGGATCTTGAATTGCCTCTGGGCCTACCTGAGGAAATGTCTAAATTAACGGAGGTGCAAAGACTCGTCCTAAATATGGGCGGCATCATTGTATGGGTTGGGTTTCTAGACTGAATAGAAAAGATAAAGCCAGCTGAACACTGGCCTTCATCTCTCTCTGCTTCCTGACTACGGAGGCAACTTGACCAGATGGCTCGCCATCCTGCTACAAACCCTTCTTGTCAAGTACTTTGTCTCAATGATAAGAACAATTCATTAAGACAGCTGCCACATATAACAAACCTCGATCACCTCGCTATCCTGTCAACCTTCAGGGAACTTCTTTTATCTTATGGACATAAATAATTCCCCATGAACAAATGATCTGCTGGGTTCTGCTAAGTCTGAGAGAAAGGATGAGACCAGAGAGGGGGTTTTCACAACCAAGTTACCCCACCTTGGCCTGCGGTAAGCATCAACACCCTCATTTTAGAGTAAAGCATGGCAGATGGATTATTGTCACAGTCTAGGGCTCAGAATCCATGCAGGAAACAACGGGGCCTTGAATGATCAATGTAACAGTGAGGCTGAGCCCAGAGTAAATGAAAAGTCTCTTTCAAGGTAAAAAAAAAAAAAAAAAATTAGCCAGCAGCATTGGGGTAGAGGAGGGTGGGAGCAGGAAGGACTGAGTCTGAAAGAGAGGATGTGGCGGGGTGGGGGGAGAGGTGGGAGATGAGAATGGGAACAAGGGGGTATCCTTTATAAATAGGTGATAATTTGTGCAGGGGAAATAGACAGCTGGCTTCAAGGAAGGGTCTGGACAGAGGTGATCAAGTCGCGGTTGGCTGCTTAAGGACATTTACAGGGTCAAGGAAGGAAGCTACTCCCGAAGCAGACAGCCTATGTTAGCATTTTCTGGGAGGACCTTGAACATCTCACAGCTCAGGGAGGTCAGCTAAGGTAAATACGCCCAGAACACTAGCAAACAACTCCAGGAGTTGGAAGCATTGAACAGTACAGAGGAAAATCCAGACACAGATTAAAGAAAGGGGTTCTTCCCCTGCACCCCAGAAACACCAGTGACTGGGCTCCTCTCAGGGACAGAAAACAAGTCATTAAGCAGAGTTCTGGCTGGCAAACTTGCTTCTGGATATTAATCACTCTTTTGATAAATAACGGCCAGGTTCAACTTTTTTATAAACAAAACTAAGGCGTGGAGAGGTTAAATGCCTTTGCTCAAGGTCCCCTGATCCTGTACACTTCTTCTGTTTCTGTACCACACATGAGTTTCACGGAAAGAGTGAGTGCTGTTGTTGCCTAGATCTGAACAGGCTGGGTTTGTGACCCCAGGCGACACATCATCCTATCTAACACTGGTTTCTTAGGTCCGAGGGATGGAGACATTCGTATCTAATGCACAACATCAACCTTCGACGGCTAACTTACAGGATGGATTTAGCCCAATGTCAATCATACATTCATTTCACTGACGTTCCCTCCGCCCAGGGCCATATCATCTTAAGAATGTATTGCTAATGCTGAGCGTGGTGGTGAGAACCTGGAATCTCAGCACTTAGGACACAGCTGTATCCCTGGGAGCGCAAGGCCAGCCCTGCCTACAGAGCAAGTTCAGGCCAGCCATGGATACCTAGTGAGATCCTCTGGAAAAGAAAGAGAGCGAAAGGAAGAAAGAAGCGGGGAGGAAGGAATTTATTGCTCAAAGCAAGAGAAATAATACAGTGCTATTTATTTTATTGACCCCCCCAGGAAGCAGAAAAGCGAGGAGGGCAGAGGATATATTTTCTCTCTACACTAGCAATATTTACAAGCAAGTCATGGTGCTCTTTATGATGAACACAACATCCTCTGATGAGCTGAAAAACACAGGTTGATAGTGGTTACCTGTGAGGCGCCCGCAAGTTCTTTAAAAAAAAAAAAGAAAAAGAAAAAGAAAAGCCAACAAACTGAGTTTATTTTTGTCACTATATTCTTAGCAACTACCACACTGTCTAACTTGCAATCCCCCTGCCTCAGCCTCCTGAGTCAGCACACAGGGACTTTTGTCACATGGCTGACACTTCACAGCACATGATGTCCTTACCGTTCATCAAGGAATGGAGCTCAGCACTGCACTCGGTTTATTTTGAAATGATTAGTTCCTTAACTAACAATGAAGAAGACAAACTTCAAAAAATTACCAACTTTTAAAATCATCTTCTTTTCAGGAATTTGCTTGTATGAAGAAAAGCAACATATTGGTCTAGCATCACAGGACAGTCTCTGACTTGTGTGAAATTGAGTTTTAAAGAAAATGTTCACATTAACCTATGTTTGAAGACAACTTCAAACCTGATCCTCTTAAAGAGAGACATATGAAGAACCAGGTTAACTTCTTTGGTTTTTTCTTCTCTGCTTCCTCCTTCTCTTTTTTCTATTTCAGTTACCTGCAATTCAATTTGTTTGGCACTAAGCATCTTCAAAGGAAGGAAAACAGCCCGGGCCAGCCTCCTCGGGCCAGCATTCACCAGCACTGAGCTTCAGCACCTCCGGTGAGTTGGATAATATCCAGTCCCCAGTCCCCAAGGTCTTTCCAGCCTCAAGAACAAGTTCTTACCCTACATACTGTAATATGTTCATGCTTTGCAACAGTGGCTGTAAACCCCTTTAATTACAGCAGAGGAATCACCCAGGGGAGATCAACACACTACGAAAGTTGCCTTCATTCTTGGTGATGGGAGTTTATTTGCACCAGAACAGGGCTCTCAGGAAATGAAAGCATTTTATTTTGTTTCAGTGTGCAGGCAGTAAGTTTACAGCCTCGGCTGGCCTTGTTCTACAACAACCTGGGAATGACCTTGAACTTCTGCCCCTGCTGTCTGGAGTGCTACCGCACCTCACTTCTGTGCTGGAGGATAAAATCCAGGGCTACACACACATTAGGGAAACACTCTCTCTTACTGACTGAGCTGCACCCCCAATCCCTCAGTAAAGGATAATTTAAAACAAACAACCCCCAACCCCAGCATTAGAAATTTAGGATGAGAGTGAGGGATAGGAAGGCCCATGAGCAAAGCCCACGTGCAAAACATCCAGATGGTATTTTCCAGTGTATCAGGAGCCAGCATTTCTTTAGGCCAGCAGTCATCACACACAGGTGTCCTGGGAGGAACACCGGGTGGCAGATGGCCTCTGCTATGGGGTTCCTTAAATGACCAATCTGCAAACTCCCTCCTCTGACTAGACATCGGAGCACAACTACCATGTCCGCCACAGAAGACGTCCTAATTATAAGAATGAGATCTGTGTGCTCGGCCTGGTGAAGACCTCCCACCTGTAAGAGAAGGGTACAGGAAGCATCATCCCTTCGATAACAAACCAAACCGGCTGTGGGGTGAGGCTAAGGAGCTGCAGATTGGTGGGGTGCCCTGCCACCAGGATCCATGTGACGCTGAATCTGCCTCAGGGAACCACTTTCCTATCCCTAACGATACCTTTTGAGGCTTGAGAAATATCTATGTGCTCAGTTTTGCTCCTTGACCTAGGCTGTCCAAGAGTTCACCCTTAGCCCCAGTAGCAGCTGGACCTGACACAAGCCCAGGCTGGCCCTCCTTCAACACAGCCCTCACCCAGTCTGGCTGAGCCTGTTTCCTCATTTCTGTGTTTGTTCTGTACCAGGACAAGCTGTTTTTGCTTTTCTTCATTCTAATCTCCTTTATGATGGTCTTACACCCCGACTTGTGACTAGCTCCCTGTCCCTCACAACACTCCCCCCTCAAACACCACCATCTGCTACCTCTTCCCCCACCCGACAAACTATGTAATTCCATTCCTTACTCATTAAAGTGGTCACGAGAACTAGAGGGAAGGAAGGACCCAATATTCTTGGAAACATTCAGCCAATGGCTTTTTGTATTTCTAGTATCCTGCAGTTAGGAGAGCTGCGGGCAGACAACAGGGCTGGTTATGGGACAGAGGAGTCTCTAGTCCAGGGGTCCAGGACTGCCCCAACCCACTTTTCCAAAACTACCTTGGCCAGAAGCATAGACCTCGCAGAAAAAGGATCAAAAGACCAGGGACTTCTGGCAGCAATTCGGGTTTCTCTTGCTAGCTAAGCAATTACCTAGGCTGAAAAGGGTGGGAGCCAAAATCGAGGCGCTCTGCTCCCTTCTAGAGAAAATTTGCATATTGTAAAACTAAAATTCTCCTCCCGGAAGGCCTCCCCACTACTATCTTTTGAACTTACAAACTACGGTTTCAACTTGAACATGCTCACAAATGTCCCCAGTGTGACAGTTGGTGACAATTCTTTCCCATGTGTGCGCGAGTTTCCCAGACGCAACAAACCGTTGCTTTCTTGGTTTGTGGGGAGAATGCAGCTTGCAATGTGGAACCCTTCTCTCGAATTTCACCATGCTTCCGCACACAAAGTTTGCACTCTCCGATGAGCACCCGGTTCGAGGTCTCACACTTCCAAGCTGGGACAGGCAAGGCCCTACCTCCCTCTCCCATGCCCATATCATTACCTGTCGCGCACTTTGCCGCAGCGCAGTCCCATGTCGGTGCACTCGGTCTCGCACACCGACACCCCCTTGCAGGACTTGATCGGGTAGATCCAAACCTTCGACACGGTCCCCACCTGCTGCAGCTGC